GGCCACTGCACTCCAGTCTGGGCGACAAAGTGAGACTCCAACTCAAAAAAAAAAATTCGTAATATTTAGCTCCTTATTACATTACTCTTTATTACATTACTGAAGAAGGCTATTAAATTGAATGAAATTAACTCATCAAAATGAACTTCACATAATTTATGATCATCTGATTCCATTTTTCTTCAGAGAAAATGAGGTAGATACAATTTTGGGTACAGTACTCAGAATTGGTCAGCTAATATAATTTTAAGATAAGATTGAGTTGCAGAACTCTACGATATATTATGTAACACATAAGGACAAACTCTCCTCAGATAATGTACCTAAAACAAGTCTTCATCTCCAACTATGTACTCAGTACCTTGTAGAATTCTGGAAGGAGGAAAAAAGAGAAAGCCCTGTGTCTAACTTATAATTGTTTAGTATCAATTAAAGGAGACATTGATAGAAATGACAGCTTTACGAGACCAAATAAAATAAAGCTATGAATGAAGTGATCTGAGGCTATAGGAAAAAATTCTTCTAGGTAATTCTAGATTTGAAAAAAAATTTTGATTTAAGTCTTAAGGAATTTAAAAAAACTGCTAATGGGTGAATTGCAAAAAATAAAACTTAGGAAAGAAATTCTTTGGGGGATGAGAGACAAGGGGCCTGGTGATATATGTATCACAAAATGTGAAAGTCTTCAGAAATAGCCAGGGTCAGATGAGACAAGTCACGTCTAGGTAATGGTGATCCTGCCCTAATGTGTTCTCTGGTCTTCAGTGCCTTTATACTGAATCAGAACCCAATTTTTATGTAGCATTGTAGTTCACTAATCTCTAGTGAAGTTCAAATCAAAACTACCGTGAGATATCACTTCATACCCAATTCCATGACTACTATAGAAAAATGGATAAAATAACAAATGTTGCCTAGGATACAAAATAGTTGGAACCCTTGTGCATTGTGGGTGGAAATGTAAAACGATGCAACCCCACTATGGAAAAGAGTATGGCAGTTCTTTAAAACATAAAAAAATTAAAAGTTACCTAAAAAAGATAATACAGAAATTCATATGGAAGTCAAAAAGAGCATGAACGGCCAAAGTAAGTCTCAGCACAAGAAACAAAGCTGAGCAGGGCGCAGTGACTCACTCCTGCAATCCCAGCACTCTGGGAGGCAGAGGCAAGAGGATTGCTTGAGTCCAAGGGTACAAGATCTCATCTCTACAATAAATCGAAATATTAGCCAGGTGTGTTGGTGCATGCCTGTGGTTCCAGCTACTTGTAAAGCCAAGGTGGAAGGATCACCTGAGCCCAGCAGGGCAACAGAATGAAACTCCTACAAAAAAGAAAAAAAAAATTAAAAAAAGAACAAAGCTGGAGAGGAAGTAGCACACTTCCACACTTTAAACTATGCTACAAGGCTACAGTAACATAGACGACATGGTATTGGTATAGGAATAAGCTCATAGACCAATGAAACAGGACAAAGATTCCAAAAATAAAAACATAATCCTTCAACCAACTTATCTTCAACAGAGCCATCAATAACAAATATTAGGAAAAGGAAATAATATTTAGACAATGGTACTGGGAAAACTAGCTAGCCACAAGCAGAAAAGTGAAACTGGTCCCCTACCTATCACCATATACAAAAATCCACTCAAAATGGATCAGACTTAAATGTAAAACCTCAAATTATAAGAAGCTTAGAAGAAAATGTAGGGAACACCCAACTGGGCATTGAAGTAGGCAATGAATTCATGGCCTAGTCCTCAAAAGCAAGTGAAATAAAAACTAAGAAAGAGGTGGGACCTTATTAAACTGAAATGCTTTTGCACAGCAAAAGAAACCATCAAGAGAATAAAGAGACAACCCACCAAATAGGAAAAAAAACATGTGCAAACTATGCATCTGACAAAGGCTGAACATCCATGATCAACAAGGAACTAAAATGAATTGAAAGGAAAAAAGAAAACCCATTAAAAAATGGGCAAAGGCCATGAACTGACGCTTCTCAAAAGATGACGTATAACCAGCCAGCAAACACATGAAAGAAAGCTCAGGCTCACTAATCATCAAAGAAATGAAAATTAAAACTATGAGATACCACCAATAAGGATGGTTATTATTAATAAGTCAAAACAACAGGTGCTTGTGTGGCTGCAGAGAAAAGGGAAAACTTCTACATTGTTGCTGGGAATGCAAACTAGTTCAACCTCTATGGAAAGCAGCGTTATGATTCATAAAAGAACTAAAAATTGAGCTTCCATGTGATCCAGCAATGCTCCTGGGAATAAAGTTAGAGAAACATAAATTTCTCTACCAAAAAGACACCTGCACACAAATGCTTTCTGTTGCACTATTCACAATAGCAAAAACATGGAACCAACCCAGATGCTCATTTAAAGTAGACTGGATTAAGAAAATGTGATACAAACATGATGGAATATTATGCAGCCACAAAGAATAATATAATTATGGCCTTTGCAGTAACCTGGGTGGAGTTGAAGAACATTGTACTAAGTTAACTATCACAGAAACAAAGAATTGAATACCGCACATTTTCACTCTTAAGCGGGTCCTGAACCCTCGTCACACTAGTACTACAGCGGGATTGGAAGATTCTGGGCACTGCTAGGGGAGAAAGGGAGGGAAGTGGGAGGGGAATACATGGCAACATAATGGGTACCTGGTCCATTACCAAGGGGAGAGAGGGTCAGCTAGAAGCCCAAAGATCACCTACATGCATCTCACTTATGTAGTAAATCCTCACTTGTATTCCACAAATCTAAAATGAAAAATAAAATAAAATAAAAATTGAAAATTACCATACAACAAGCAATTCCACTCCTGGGTATATATCCAAAATAATTCAAAGCAAGGTCCTCAAAAGACACTTGTATGCCCATGTCCATAGTAGCAGTATTCATAATAACCAAAAGTGTAAATTAACCAAAACATCCATTAATGGAGATGAATTGATAAGCAAAATGTGGTATATACATACAATGAAATTTCAGCCTTAGAAAGAAAATTCTGACACATGCTATAGCATGAATGAACTTTGGAGACATTAGGCCAAGAAAAATAATTCAGCTATGAAAAGACAAATACTGGATAATTTCACTTATCTGACATATTTAGAGTAGTCAAATTTTTAGACACAGAACATAAAATAGTGGTTGCCAGGGGCTAGGAGAGAGTAAAATGGAAAGTTGTTGTTTAATGAGTAAAAAGATTTCTTTTTGCAAGGTAGAAAAATTCTGAAGGTTGCACAAAAATGTTAATATACTTAACTGCACTCAGAAAATGGTTCAGATGGTAGAGTTTACGTTATATTTATTTTAGCACAAATTTTTAATATTTAAAATAAAGTATCCACTTAAAAAAATAAAAAAGCACTATGTGACCAGGTCGGTGGCTCACACCTGTAACCCTAGCACTTTTGGTGGGCTGAAGAATTGCTTGAGCCTAGGAGTTCGAGACAGACCAGACTAGGCAGCATAGCAATATCTTGTCTCTACCCCAAAAAAATAAAAAATAAAAAAATTGGCCAAGCATGGTGGCATATGCCTGTAGTCCCAGTTACTTGAGAGGTTGAGGTAGAAGGATCGCCTGAGCCCTGGAGGTCAGTCACACCACTGTACTCCAGCCTGGGTGACAATGAGATCCCAACTCAAAAAAAAAAAAAAAGGCATTGTATATATAATCACATCTATTAACTTAAGAGCTAACTTAGTATCCTAATCATAGGAATATTTGTCTCACTATTCTCACGCTAGATGCTTCTGACTCTCTAAGATTTATCTATTTTGCAAATATTTATTAGGTATTTGCTTTGCTCTACACGCTTTTCCCAGAACAGTTGAATGAACCAAAGAGCAAGGCT